AGCAATGAAAGCACTACTGGCATTCACCCCACCTCTTTTTAATTGCTCTCCATGCCCATTGGGTCATAATCTGATCCCAGCTACATCTGGGAAAGTACAGAGCTGTTCCTTGGAAAAATGGAACATCTCCAGAGTAGTGCTGATGGGATCAGGATCCAGCCACCTCCTCTCTAACGATCCCCGCTGGGTTTGGCCCAAAACACAAGTCTTCTGCAGGGGCTTTTGGCTTTACTGCACCTGTAAAGGACCCCAACTTGAGCCTCCCCACTATGAACAATAGGTCTGGAAACTCTGGGTCAGGAGAGACTTGATGGGTAAGGGGACAGAGGAGGTGACATGGCAGACAAGCCCAGTGTCAGTGCTGGGACACCAGCTTGGCTGTTTTGGTAAAAGCCTCGGGCTGTCACTGGGGTGGGGTAGGACACAGGCCCATGTTTGTCTGTGCAAGGGGGGATTGACACTGGTGGAATGTGAATCCTACGTTCCTGCTCTGCTGAGAGAAAGGGAAAAAAGGAGAAAAATCGGGTGGATATGCAGGGAGGGCAACAGTCAGCTTATCTGAGCCATTAACCAGAATTTGAAATTGGACCTATTACTTTTGAGGAATGTAGGGCAGTGGAGGAGAGATGTGTGAATGTCCACATGGCTCTTGCCTCARTATCCTAGTAAAATGCCAGCACAGGATGACAAGGAATAGTACTTACCCCACAGCTTCAAGTCCACCACTGCAATCTTTGATCACTTATTACTTTGCTATTCCTTCTGCTTCTTGCTGTAATTGTTACAAAATCTCTGTGCTTTGGGAGGGGTCCAGGACTCCAGGGCCCAATTGCATCTGCCCTGATTCAGAAAGTGGGTCATGCTGCTTGGTCTGGGAAGAAGATACTCATCTTGCTTAGCATGATATTTATTAGGAGATAGAGAAGGGAATGCAACCAGACTATTGCCTAGAAAATTGCTGTGGGGGGATAGCAAAGGACTTGTGAGGGCAGAGCATGGAAAGTTCTCGTGCACCCAGTGCCTGCTGAAGCTTTGCCATGTTCCCTGTGATGAGGAAGAGATTTGTAGCTGCTCACTCAGCAGCTGCTAGGCAGTGTTGTGATGGGCTCTTTACATTTCTTGGAGGAGAGACTGGTGAGAGTAGAGGGAGGGGAAGACWGTATCTGGTGCCTTCATAAAGATGTGCTGTTTTCACAATCACAGTTGGGGTTTGCTGCTGGATAAATGACCAGCAACCTCTCCAAATACTTGGCAAGGCATGACACAGTGCTCTGAAAGGCAAGAACTCTCCTGCAAAGAACAAGTAGAAAGCCTTGGTCCAAAGCGTGGAGTAATTTACTCTGTGCTGTATCTATTTCTCATTAAGCGATGGAGAGAAGGAAACTGAGGAAGCAGATGATGATGGGCCCAGTGTTGCTGCAGCAGGATCTCACAGCAGGGACTGACACAGACTGCCTGACTCGGTGTGGGGGGAGGTAAAAAAGCACAGTGATCCTGCCAGGCTGGCTGGGCCTGTGCTGCTGCTTGCTGTGAAATCACCCTCAGGATTATCCAAAGGAAGAACTGGCAACTCAAGTAACTTGGAGGGCCGGATCCTCAACTCGTTTAAATTGGCATGACTTCACTAAAGCCACCAAAACTGCACTGATTTTACATCAGGTGAGCATCTGCTCCAGAATCTGCTGAAAGAAGACGAAGCAGGCACAAAACAGAGGTTTGGTACAGCTCCTTACAAGCCTGGGGACTCCTGGGCTGTCCTGAGTGGAGGGTGGGTCAGCAGGTCATTGCCAAATGTCTTGGACAGCTTGGAAGGGCTCTGAATTCTTGTGGCCATAGCAAATGCCAAAGCACAGCTCCCTTGGGAGGGTGGGGGACCCGCCTCTTTGCCTGCACTTTGGAGCACATGTTGTCAGGGATTGGTGACATTGGCACCTGCTCATGGCATTTTAATGGCAGCACGATGAGAGGGGGTCAGAGACACAAACTGTAGACCTGGCCAGTCGTGGACCCTAGGCACATTCCCATGGGTGCTTTAAATCTGGCCTGTCTTTTCCTGGACATTCAACACCACTTGTATCCCTGGTGCTGTGTGATGCCRCTGGCAAAGGCAGACCAGCGGCTGTGGCTTCAGCCTCTTCCTACTGTCACCACAAGCTTTATCTTTGCCAAGCCTGTAAGATGATGGGAGGAGAGTTCTCACTCCAGTAAAGGACRGGAGCCAGTGTCCATGTCTCAGCTCATGCTCCATCAGGCAGCATTAAGCATATGTGTGCAGAAATTGTAGGTTCGTGTTGTGGTAGGCAATYGTTTCCTCAGCTCTGCCTGCACCTTGTTCTTAGGTGGGGTGTTACGGGGTGTACACAAAAAGGTATGGTGTTGCATGTTCTAGAGATTGTTTGCTGAAACACCAGGCTGTCGGGACCCGGAGGGATGCACAGAATTCCCTCCAGCCCCTGGCATGCACTTRCATCCGGGGTGGATCTGGGTAGAGTTTTAGCAACTCCCAGTGAAGCAGCTCAGGGCCGGAAGTGAAAAAGTGATAAAATATCCAGCTGAAACTCCTGTAGGATGTAATTACCTGAGCTGGAAGCTGGCCAGGACAGCAGGTATTGTGCATCATCTGCCAGTGGTATCAGAAGCACCCAGCATTGCAGGAGAGGTGGTCAGGACTGAGGAGTGATGTTGGTGCAAGGACTGGGCCACTCCCAGGAGGCTGCYTCTGTGGGCATTTGCCATAACAGCTTTTGAAGTCACTTTTATTCCATGGCTGTTCTGTGATGTACCATGGTGCCTGTAAAATGCTCTTGAGAAGCTACTGCTCATGGATGGGTAGCCTTACCCTGATGCTCATTTAAATGCTTCTGCTTTGTCATTTAAAAAAAAAAAAAAAACAAAACAAAAAAAAAAAAGAAAAAAGGGGAAAAAAATCCAAAGGAAATTGACTTCCCAAAAATGACACTAACATTGGAGGCCTGGCACAAATCCATTGCAGCCAGGAAACTTAGAATTAACCAGTGCACTCCCATGACTGCTAGGAATGGCTGTATTCCAGCAGCACAGGCCAAGGCTTTTGGACTTGGGGGCCTGGGGGTGAAACCCGTTAACGTCTCTCAAATGCAGCAGGTTTTGTGCACCTCTATACATGCAGAAAAGACCCCAACCCAGCATTAGAAGCAGGGGCAGCTTTATTCTTTGGGTAGAGGGCTAACAGCAGGCTCCTGATTGTCAGATGTGATCCCAGTGCATGAGAGGGCTCCTTCCCCGGGATTTGCCCCGTGGGCTCTGTGGCTGCTGCTGAGGGTGACGGGCAATTCACGGCTGCAAGTGAGGACAAAGCTGATGCTTCATGTGGTGCAGCATCCCATAAATGAGAGACTGAAGCCTCAGATCAGCTCTGCTGAGAGGGAAGGCAGAGGGAAGCAGGGCAGGGGCAGTGCTGGGGCTGTGCGAGCTGCCGGCCCCAGGAAAAACCTCCCGGCAGAAATTGCAGCTCGAGTGGCAGCTTAGAGCTGTCCTGAGCTGGCAGAGTGGGGTGGAGGGAGACTGGCAGAACCCCTGCTACCTGCTGCTTGCCTTGGGCTGATGCTGTCGGGGCTGAATGTTTGTGAGGATTCATTTCACTCATCAGCTTTGGGAAAGCGTGGAACGGGCTCCTGTACCTGCAGCTGTTTGTCTGGCACTGAGAGTGGGACAAAGCTGTGCCTTCGCTGGCCCAGCTATCCCAGGCTGCCAACCTGCCTTTGTCATGAATTCCCACAGCTTTGGGATACTGCAGACAGCAGACCTCATGTCAGAGCATTGATAGCATCTCATTTCGGAGGTTGGGGGAGGTCGGGATGCGTTAAGGCTGAAAATATTTACAGGTTTTGAAGTTGAAACACAAACAGGAAAAGCCCTTTAAAAAGTGAGTGTAGTGGATATTCAAAACAGGGATTGCCATGGAAACACCACAATATTTGCTTAAATTGACACAAAGGTTGCTGGTTGCAGGGTTCTGACTTTGGCTCCATTTTCTTTGGCCTGACACCTATCACTAGTTGATCTCTACAACCCTCTTTTGTTTTGCTTCTTTTATTTTTGTCTGATGGGAATTTAAAAAACCCCACCAAAACCAAAACCCTGCAGTCGGCAAATCCCACCTCATAGAAGAGCCTGAAGCTTTTAAGCTTCTGACAAAGGTTGGAGCTAAGACATTTAATAATTTTGTAAGTAAGGTAAAAGTTCTTGTTATTTTAATCTGTGCATTTGTTCATTTCCTCCAATGCAGGAAGTAGAAGGGAATTGTCTTTACTGTCTAGGGAGAGCAGGGCGAAGGCTGAAACCTGTTGCAGAGATACTGTATGCATCCAAGGAGCACAGGACTTTTTATTGTCCAGCCCTTGGACCACAATTTGAGAGATTTAGTTGTAGTTTCTAATTCTGCCTCAGATTTGCCAAGTGAGCTTTGACAAGTCACTTAATTACTGTGGGCCTCACTAAACTGGAAATAATAGTTCTCCTTTGTCTTACCTGGTTGTATGTGTAACATTTTTGAACATGAGATTTGATGTGGGGGTGGACAAGGAGTTCTGTGCAGCTGGATTCCCCACAAAGGAGGGATGGCAGCACAGGCTCCCGTGGGCAGGAATTCTCTGCTGGCTACAGGGGGAAGCTCTTTGCTATAAGTGCCTTAGTACTATAGGCTTCTTCTGCCACTGATTGACCTGGATTTTTTTCTGGGGAAAACTGGAGTGTACAGCCCACTGAATAGTCACCTGGGTGGTTTGTACCTTGGCTTTTGAGTTGCTAGTACCACACACGGCTGGCARGGAGATGGGGATGGAGTGTGTTCAGCAGGGTGAGCACACCTTGCCTCGCTGGCCTGTTGTGTGTGACCAAGGGCTTAGGTCTGTGGGTGGCTGTGGCATTTGGGGCTGGCGTCACTGCTTGTGTTCATGATTCACCTGAGCTCTCGTACTGCTCAGTAAGGAATATTCATTTCCTTTTGAAACTCTCCTCAGGGAAAAGAGGCTTCAACAAGTGAAGGGAGGCCGTCTAATTCACACTGTCTTTACCTGAGAACACCTCCAAAACAAAGAGACAGACTTCTCTCCTGGCTTTGTACGCTGGAGGGGACCTTCAAGCCTGTGACTTCTCAATGCAAGGTACTGGCTTTTGTTCTGTGATCACACTGCTCTGAAGTGGGACTGGAATGAGTGATTTTTGGCTCTCCAGAGCCTTCATTCCAGTTACTGGGAAATCTCAAGAAAGATCTGCTGGAACTCAGTGGTTTGGGTGGTAAATGCATGGTGGGATGTTGGTTTGGCTTCGGCTGGCTCACAAGTASGACTGGTTTACCCATGCCATCGCTGCCCATCTCTGCACAGACAGACAGACAGCTGACACAGCAATCTCGGTTTGAGCAGCTCCTTCTCTTCACCTCCTTCTTCCTAATGAAGTGCTGTGCAGTATTAACAATTAGCTAAGTRGTATTCAGGGGCGTCCCCTGGGTAAGTATTGTGTGGGACAGTTTCTGATTGACTTGTTTCACAGAAGTGGTTTGAGGATGTCTGTGGTCACGGTGGGTAACTCAGAGGTTGTGAGTGGGTGGGAATCTGTGTTGGTAAAAGCTGTTTTACTTTCTTCTCTGCTTGTCTGCCGTCACAGCTTCTCTGCAAAGAAAGGTATGACATAACAGTGGGATAATATGTTTGAATGTGTTGGGCATTTGGGAGTTAGCAGGTGGCACTGCCACACTGCTGCAGGCAGGAGAGGCTGAGGATCCTCATTGTGTCTGACCTTTGTGTGACATCATGTGCACTGTCAGGGAGAGAGACAGTGGTGTCAGGGGGTGTCTCCATACTGTGCTTGACATCGTTAAATGCTGATGATGTCTAAATGAAGATCAGCAACTGAAGTACCTGAAGGGATTGTGTATCATCATGTTCCTCTACTTTTTGCTGCTATGCCATAAATGAACCTGGGCAAAGCAGTATGTCCAAAGCTGCTGTGAGACACAGGTGCAGATGAAACCTGAACTGGAAGGTCTGGGTGGAGGGACTGTGTTGGTTTTGCAAGAGGGGTGATGAGAAAAGTCACAGGTCTGAGATGTTGGTCTGGGACTCCAGCTACACCTGTCCATTGCTGGCTGTGTTTGGCACATGTTCTGAGTGCCCTACCTTAAAGAGCAGCAGTCATGATCCTCTGAAGCTCAGCGGGGCTGAGTTCTTGCCMCGTGTTCAGAGCCTACAGACCTGAGTGCTTTCAGTAAGCCTACCAGTTTAGTGTGTTCTGTAAGGATGGGATAGGAGCGAGCTGTGCCTTCCCACACCTTCCTTGTGCTGAAACACCTCCAGGGTCTGGCGTGCTTTATTTGGAAAGCCTGGTTTTGAACTATTAATGTAGGGAACTCAGGCTTTTATCCCTGTGTGAGCTGTTCTGGTGCTTGTGTCCCCTTTTAGAGCAATGGCACGTGCCTTCCCGGGTCTCCAGAGGCAAGAGAGCTTCCCAAATAGGAACTCTGCCCGAGGGAATAAGGTAAAGGGCATGAAGAACCGTGAGGTTTTTATCAAATAACATACAAATTCTCAGGTTTGATTGCAGCAGGTAAATTATCTGCCAAACACCCTTATGTGCCTTTCTGGAGAGGTCCACCGTCCAGGAAGGAAAACTCTGCTGAGGAAGCTGCGTCATAGGTTCTGGGTCCATTTTTCCACCACAGGGAGCTTTTCCTGTGAACAAGTGTCCCATCACTTGTTTCTGCTTGTGTAGCTACTGATACTGAGAACCCTGCTTTGTCTATCTGAGCTGGACCTGGGATGAGCAGAACCTCTGAGACAGGAAGGTAAGAGGAGGAGACTGATACATCAGGAATTCTTTAAATGCTCAAGTGATCCTTGAGGTTCAGGTTCTTGCAAATCAGTTATCATTTTTCCACCTTTGTCTCCTTCCAGTACCTACTGTGTCCATTGCTGAGTGTTCTTCAGGGGCTGCTTCCTGAGGGACAGTAGCTCATTAGAGCCAATAGAAATATTTCCCTGGACTCCAGCTGTTTTCTGAGGTCCCCTAGTTCTACAAACATCCCTGCAGTGAAGGAGATACATTTAGCTTTTCAGGCATGTGGCTTTGTGATCTCTCATTGCTCTGGACTAGAAATCCCTGTGTTCCAGTCTTCAGCCCTGGAGCAAGTTGTATGGCTTCTACTTTCAAAACAAGCTCAATTTACTTTGGGCTACAGAGGCTGTTTGCACGTTCTCCAGAGCCCATCCCTTGGCTGTGATTGCTTTTTCACTGTTTATAAGCACACGCTGGTTGTTTAGTCCTAGAGCTATAAGAGTTGGAGGGAGTTCTCTTGTTGAGTTAATGAAGGGTAGACTTTTATGTGGGGGGAAAAAGCTAAAAAAAAGTGTGGGAAAAGGATTAGAAATATCTGCTCAGTGTTTGAATTCGCAAAATATTCCCCCTGGTTTAAATCCTAAAGTAAAGCTAAATTTGGGGGTTAGCTTGGCCTGATGGTGTTATTTTTGCTTGGTTTCTTGGGATTACCGCATGGGCACAGCTGTGCAAGGAGCAAGGTGGGAACAGTGCCTTCCACAGAAGAGCAGCGGGGCCAGCCCWGCCAGCCCTGGCGGCTCCGATCCTGAGCTGGGCTGGGGAATATGAAACAGCCTTGCAAAATCATTGTGGAAATTTACCCACCTGTGTATGAAATCAACTTGCCTGCCTTTGCCAGGAGGAGTTTAACTTGCCCATTAAAATACACATCTATTTATGTATTACTTGTTCTGTGAGAGAAAATTTTCCCAGGCAGTTACAAAACTCAGTCTAGACTGTAATGTGTGGCATGTGGTGGTAACATGCCATATACATATATCTGAATAGAGTATCTCCTGTATCACCCTGCTTGGGAGTTACCAGCACATATCTGCAAGGCCTTTCCGTTTGCAGCGCTGTCATGGGTGAAGGCTTGGCCTGGTTCCTCCATCCTGCAGTCAATGGGGCTCTCGCTGCTCCCATCCCATCCAGCCCGGCAGGCGCTTCCCCGCTGCCTGTCCTGACCTGTGCCCYGCAGTTCAGGCTGGAGGCAGCAGCTCCCAGGTGGAGCTTTTCCRGCAGGGCTGAGCAGGGGAGAGGGAAGATTTTAAAAGCCTGTCTGGGTAAGAGCAGGGTTGTCACATCCATCTGCTCGGGCCCTGACGAGCAGCTGATCCATATTGTTAACATATTGCCTGCCATATGGGCTAGCTCAGCTCTCCAGGAACGCTTGGGACACCTGACCTCTAGTGTGACAAGATGTGAGCATGAAGGACGGGTTGACAACAGCCCTTGGGTCTCGGAGTGTGAAACCGCTGCCTTCCCCTGCGCTCATTCTCGCGCTGCCTCTGCCTGCCTCGCTCCCTCTCTTGGGTCTCTCTGAGGGGTTTTTTCCTCCCTCCCCTGTTTTCCGCATCCCTGGTCTGCGCTAGATCAATGACCTTCACTCATAACCAGACTGGACAGTTCTGACTCCCTCCCCCAGGCCTTCGATCAGATGTTTAGTTGGCGGCTGTGGAATGCTGAATGGGGAGAAGTCAAAGGAGGGAAAAGAGGATCATGTGCTTGGCAAGCCTTATAGCTGTCCTTACCATATCTGGTCTGGGAACGGGACTGAAGACCGATCCTCTAAGGTCTGAGCACCTCCTGCTCACTTGGATAACAGCAGATGCTCATATAACTTCACGGAGGTTGAAGGCCACCAATGGGATCTAAGCAGGTTGAAAGGTCTCAGATGTTCAGGAAAGGGCCTCCATGCCAGAGTTCAAAGAGGGAACACTTAAAAGGCTCTTGAGAGACATGGAAGGAATCAGTTTCAAAGTAAACATAAGGGCATCCCAAAGCCCAGGAACACTGCAGTGCCCAGAAGCTGTGATTTTGCACCTACTTGTGACGGGGAATAATTGTCGGAGGGGCAGAAGCTGAAGTGGTGTTCTGGCAGTGAGGACGTCGGCTGAACAGGATCCAATCCCAGTGCTGAACAAGGCCTGACTACGGAGCCTGTGATGCAGTTAAGCGCAAGCCCAGGACTCGTGTGTGGATTTGTGGAGCAGCTTAGCCCTAAAGAAGCCCAGGGCTTCAGTGAGTGTGACGCTGCAGACCAGCCCGCCCCAAACACTGGATGGATAAAGGGATGTTCAGAACTGGAGGAGACAGGATTGGGCCGGCCCTTTGTGGGTTCAGACCTCGCTTYCCCTGTCAYCTTCAGTCATTCTTCTGAATGCACRGTGCCCTCAGGCTCCTGGAACCTCTGCTGATGAAGTTGGCTCTCTCCTTCCTAAGGCTTCTGTCTTCACACTTGAAATTTAGGGAGGTTAGATCCTGGTGCTGGCGAGGCAAGCACCACTTCTACTGTGAACTTCAGTGGCATTGGGATTTCAGACTTGGCTCCTCAGAAGGGGATTGGGATGTTTCCCAATCATTTTTACCCATCGGCTCTGTCAGACCTGCAGGCGTGACTCATTTGTCTTTTAGTATCCCCAAGTAAGGGTTGTCTTTTTTTTTACACACCTGTCTTGTGAAAATCAGTATCCTTCAAAAAGCTGAGATTTTGCCCTGCTCTTCATAAAGGTTTTAGACCAGTTTAGTTGCTTTTCTTTCTCTCGTTCCCCATGCACCTGCAATTGCACTGATCTTTAATAGTGTTTATTTGTAAGAGAGGAGCCCACTGAGATATTGCAAAATAAAACACAGTGATGAGTCGTGGTTTATTTACTCAAGCTTCACTGATGTAACAAACCTGATTTTATGTTAATAATGACTCAGAAATGGAGTTGGGAGGAGAAGCCGGATCTCTTGATTCCTTTAACTCTCCAACAGTATTTCTTCCTGTCCTTAGATCCAATGGCAGTTCTCTGAGCTGGGGTGCAAGCAGAAGTTCTGAAGTACTCTGATGAAACAGCTGGCTAAAAAAATACGGGTGYTCTGCCATTTTGCAGGGTTGCACTAAGATTTAGGAACACATTCAGCTCAGGTAGGCATTGTACATCCGTCTGTCCCTCGGGCAGCTCTCCAGCCAGCAGGGACGCTGACCTGCAGAGTTCCTCAAGGAAAACGAGTTGGAAAGCACTTGGAGCAATCAGTGCTAAGTATGCACATGAGTGTTCGAGGGAAATGCATGTTCAAAATGTAG